TATGTGTGTGTGTGTGTGAATATGTATGTGTGTGTAAAAGAAAAACTAAGATCTAATATGATCTAAAAAAAAAACATCAACTAAATGTACATTAAGCACTAATGGTACAAAAACAATACACGAACATGAGTCTGTGGGCAGATGAGTTCAAATGAACACAGCAACATGAAATAGATCAGCAGCAACATGAAACAGATCAGCAGCAACATGTGATTTTTTTTCACAGTGATTTTTCTGATTAGATATTCAAAAGTCTAACAGCCTCAGCGTAGAAGCTGTTCCTCAGTTTAGTGGTTCTACACTTAATGCTCCTCAACCTCTTTCCTTTGGGGAGTGGGGCAAAAAGTGTGTGTGCTGGATGAGTGGGGTCCTTCATGATGCAGGTGGCCCTCTTCCTGCATCTGGAGGTGTTAGATGTCTGTGATGGTGGGGAGACTGACTCCGACAGACTTCTGTGCAGCCTTCACCACTCTCTGCAAAGCTTTTCTTTCTGCAGCTGTGCATCCTCCATGCCACATGTTGATGCTGGAGCATAAGATGTTCTCCACTGCACACCTGTAGAAGGAGGTGAGGACTGAGCTTCTCAGACCAGCTCGTCTCAGCCGTCTGAGGAAGTAGAGTCTCTGATGAGCTTTCTTCATCAGGCTGGTGGTGGTGTTGCCCCAGCTGAGGTTGTCATTCAGGTGTACACCCAAGTACTTGTAGCTGTAGTACTAAATATTATCTTACTACTAAATATTTATCTGACACTACAAAAAATATATACATATATTTCAAAATATTTTAATTTTATTATTTCATTATTTAATTTTTTTATGCCTTCAAGGTAATGTGATGAGAGGTGTGAGTGATGGGGCGGCACTCTAGCACCCTCTATCGGCCAGCCACCACTGCTCATACTGAAGAGTTTTCAGCTCCTCTTCAGAGCTTCTCTGGAGATATGTTGCTCCTCACATCAGATCTGAACGTGTTCCTGTTTGTCTCGGCAGTCGTCGAAGCCTCGGCTGACAGTTCCCTGCTGCTCCATCATGGATGTGAGGAGTACCACGGCGCTGGAGGTCCCTGATAAGGAGAACACCTTCCTGCTGCAGGTAGGGACTGTTTGCTGTTCTGGAGATTCTGATGGTTCTCGGATCAGTGACACATTCAGTTGTGCTCGTGGTTGTTCTCCATGAGTAATTCAGCGAGGAGTCTGGTAACCCCAGAGGTCAATAGGATGTTTTATTTTTTACAGCTCATCTACACAAAGTTTTTATTTATTTATTTTATGTTTATTTTGGGGTTTTTGCCAGTTTTCATTTAACAAAAACTCCATCCATCATTCATCTTTACCCACTTCTTCCTTTTTGGGTCACGGGGTCACTTGTGACATATCCAACTATCATTGTGCGAGAGGCAGGGGACACCCTGGACAGGTCTCCAGTTCATCACAGGGACACCTGGAGACAAACCAGACAAACAACAATTCACTCTCTCTCACACCTAGGAACAATTTAGAGTTATCAGTCAGTCTAACATGCATGTTTTTGGTCTGTGGGAGGAAACCAGAGTACCCGGAGAAAACCCACGCAGCATGGAGAGAACATGCAAACTCCACTCAGAAAGGTCCCCAGACCAGGATTTGAACCGTGGCAACCTTCTCGCTGAGAAGCAGCAGCTCTACCAACTGCGCCACCGTGCTGACCACAAAATCTATAATTCTTAAATAAATTCAGCAGGGCTTGGAAGACCTCATGCACTTTAAGTAATAGTTTTAAGTGTTTTCTTATTCACTCAAGATGTTTAAGCGTCTCTGGGTTTGTTCAGTGAGGGAGGAATGGAGCTTGGGATCATCATACGAACCGGAGCAGCTTTCACTGTATTGTGGAGTCTGAGCCGGTCCGTTGTGGTGAAGAGGGAGCTGAGCTGTAAGGAGAAGCTCCCTGTACTCTGCTTGGTCTATGGTCCTGCTCTCACCTGTGGTCCTGAACTCTGGGTAGAGACTGAAAGACTCATATCCTGGATCAAGGAGGTCTAAAGGAGTCCTCTGCCTGGTAGTTGGACGCACTTTAGAGATAGGGTGAGGAGTTCAGTTCTCCAGGAGAGATGCCGAATAGAACCGCTGCTCCTCCACATCGAGAGAAGCCAGTTGAGGAGGTTCAGACATCTGGTCTGGATGGACCCTGGATGCCTCCCTAGGGAGGTGCTCTGGACATGTCCTACGGGGAGGAGACCCCAGGGAAGTCTCAGGACATACTAGAGAGACTAAGTCTTTGCTGGTCTGGGAACATCTTTGAGTCCTCCAAGAAGGGCTGGAAGAGGTGTCTAGACCTCCATGATCCAGCTGCTGACCCTCAGACCTGAGTCCAAAACCAGAGGATGGACAAACGGATGTTATAACTCAAACTGTAAACATGAAGAGGACGACATTTCCTCGTTACTTCGAGTTACTTTAACTTTTAAAGACCTCCATTACAAACCAGGTAAATTCACCTATCAGGTACCTAAACGGAGCCTTTAGGTACCTGGATTCAGAATCCAACCGGGCCTCTTTATCACTAACTGTGTCCTGCTTTGCTGCTTGCAGCTGGAGACGTTGGCGCAGTACGTGATTGAGACACGAGACGCTGTTCAGATGAGGGCGTGGCTCAGCGACATCAGGAACGGCATCTGTCTCAGGTACCGATTCAGCCAGCCGTTGTTTCGGGGACCGGCATGTGTCTGGTTGTCTTTGAGGTTTTAACTTCCTTCTGTATGCCGCAGTGAGCAGGACGATGCAGAGGGGGGGTGTGGGGGACCGCTGGACATCAGCAGGACGCCAGAGATTGGAGAGCGTCTTTCTCAAGGTGAGTGTTGCTTATGAAGTGGGCAGGGCTTCAGGATAAACCCTGTCCAGTTCTGGTGAAGCTCCGTCAGACATTTGAATGAAAGTGGTTCTGGATCAGCAGAACTCCAGATGTTCTGTTCTTCTTTGCGTCAGTGTGTTACGGAGGAATCGGAGGCTCCTCCCCTCTCATGGACCCGCTCCCTCCGGAGTTGCCTCCTCGAGCTCCTCTCGACGAACCAGACGGCAGGATTCTCGGAGCGGGCGGGGCTAGTCTGGGCACACCTTTTGCAGAGACGCCAGATGCCACAGGTGAGCAGGTTTTACGTATTAAAAATAAACATGTAAAATGTGGGGGGGATTAAAGAGGCGCCAATCAGCAGGAAGATAAAACTGTTAAATTTAAATTTCTGTTAAAATCCTTCTGAAATAAATAAAAACGGTTCTGTGTGATGCTTTTCTGCACAGTTCTGTAACAAACAGCAGAATTGTTGTTGCAGATCAGCAGAACGTTCCACAGAAACCATGAAGGTTCTGTCGGACCTTCATTCTGCTCAGCAACCAGGACGTCAAATGTGGTCCAACAGAACACCTCTAACCTCATGAACCGGTTCTGCAGGTTCCTTCCTGTTTTCTGACGTGGGCCCAGCCGAGACCGTGGAGCACCCGCTCAGCGAGTGTCAGTGGTTCCACGGGACCCTATCGCGCCTCAAAGCGGCCCAGTTGGTTCTGGCCGGAGGCCCGTCGAGCCACGGCGTGTTCCTGGTCCGGCAGAGCGAGACACGGCGTGGAGAGTACGTCCTCACCTTCAACTTCCAGGGCAAGGCCAAGGTGAGTCACAGAACGCTAGTCCAGACCTGGACTGAAGTCTCTGTGGGGACATGTGTTGATATGTGCTGCTGATCTCATACTGCTGATTATTTCTTGCTGCTTTATTCATTCATTCGTACTCATCCACCCACAAAGACTCATGTTCTTGCTGCTGCTGTTTGGTGTATTGTCTTACATTATAAAGGGGAGTGGTGGTGCAGAGCTTAGAGAAGATGGGCCTGTGATCGGAAAGTTGCAGGTTCAACTCCCAATACTGTCAACATCAAAATGTGGGTGGAAAAGGTGAAACACCCACACCTGTCTCCACCCTCATTCACCCCACTCTGGGCCCCTGAGTAAGGCCCTCAACCCCCACCATCTGCTCCTAAACAGGTCTGTCTTGAAAATGAGTTCTCGTGACTCAGTGAGACTTCCTGTATAAATAAAGGGTAAATGGAAAAAAATATATATTGTTTAGCATAATTAGATCTTTTAGCATATCGTTTGATGTTTGTTTAGCGCATTTCTTAGTTTATATCTAAGATCCTTTTTACACTTTTATATTTTTGCTATTGTTGGATGTAACTGGGACCCGGAGCACATCGTTCCACCTCATGAACCACATGATGCGGATGACAGTAAAGAACCTTGAACTTGACACTGAGAGTTGTCCAGACCTGGACTGAAGTCCAGTCCAGGTGTTTGTGGGTGGAGCTCTGTAAGGGTTTTGAATATTTAGGAATGTCTTCTGAGGTCTGGTTTTCAGGGTTTTGTCTTTGTGTTCCCCCACAGCACCTCCGTCTGTCCCTGAACGAGGACGGGCAGTGCCGAGTGCAGCACCTATGGTTCCAGTCCATCTTCGACATGTTGGAGCACTTCCGGGTCCACCCCATCCCCCTGGAGTCCGGCGGCGCCTCTGACGTCACGCTCATCAGCTTCGTGGGCGCCACCGCCGTCCGACAGCCAGGTATGAAGGGTGTGGGGGTTGAGTCCAGGTCGGGTCCGTATGATCAGAACCTGAACCGGACAGGTGTTTCTGCATGAGCCTAATCACATCTGTCATCCTGATTCTGGAGGTTCTGAACCAAAGCTAACTGGACTTGTCTCTGTATTGGACCATCACAGACCAGGTTCTTTTCCGTCTCGTGAAACCGAAGCTTCTTTCACAAAGCGCCTCAAGTCGCAGCACTGAGGCATTGTGGGAAACTGAGATCAACACCTCTGCACCGAGCCGACAGTTTGACTTCGAGCAAACTCTGATTGGTCTCCTCTGCACCCTCGACCCGTCTCCATGAATGACAGTTCACAGATGCCCCTTTTCCATTAGTACCTTTAGTATTGGTACAGCATGGTTCTACTCAGCTCGGTACGGTATACGTTGTGTTTCCATTATACTTTCAGTACTGGTTCCAGTGGGTGTGGTTCAAATTGACATAACACACCTCATCAGCTGGTGGTGGTAAGACCCTGAAGCTGGTTTCAGTACAGGGTGAGAATTTATTTTGAAGTTTCTGGTAAATTAAAAAGAATATGGATTATTAAAATGATCAAATTAAACTATATCTATATATATACTGCTCAAAAATTTAAGGGAACACTAAAATAACATCCTAGACCTCAATTAATTAAATATTTTCATTGACAAACTTTATTATTAACACAGTGGAATTGACTGAGATAAAATAACACAAAAATTATCAATGTACATCAAAATTATTACACCATGGAGATCTGGATTTGAATTCATACTCGATATGAAAATGGAAAATAACATGACAGGCTGATTCAACGTCAATGAATATTCCTCAAGACAAGTCTAAATGAGGCTCAGTAGTGTGTGTGTGGCCTCCACGTGCCTGTATAACCTCCCAACAACGCCTGGGCATGCTCCTGATGAGACGGCAGATGTTCTCCTGAGGGATCTCTTCCCAGACCTGGATTATAGCATCAGTTAGCTCCTGACAGTCTGTGGTGCGATGTGGCCTTGGTGGATTGACTGAAACATGATGTCCCAGATGTGCTCAATTGGATTCAGGTCTGGGGAACGGGCTGACCAGTCCATAACATCAGTGCCCTCATCATGCAGGAACTGCTGACACACTTCAGCCACATGAGGCCTAGCATTGTCATGCATAAGAAGGAACCCAGGGCCCACTGCACCAACATATGGTCTCACAATGGGTCTGAGGATCTCGTCCTGGTACCTTATGTCAATCAGGGCACCTCTGGTTAGCACATGGAGGGCTTTGCGGCCACCCAAAGAAATGCCTCCCCACACCATGACTGACCCACCACCAATCTGGTCATGCTGGAGGATGTTGAAGGCAGCATAACGTTCTCCACGGTGTCTCCAGACTCTGTCACATGCGCTCACTGTGAACCTGCTTTCATCCGTGAAGAGCACAGGGCGCCAGTGGCGAATCTGCCGATTTTGGTGTTCCCTAGCAAACGCCAATCGTCCTGCACGGTGTTGGGCTGTAAGCACAGGCCCTATATGTGGACGTCGGGCCCTCATACCACCCTCATGGAGTCTGTTTCTGACAGTTCGAGTGGAAACATGCACATAGGGCCCTGGCAGTGGACCTCCTGTTCCTCCTTGCACAAAGGATGAGGTAGTGGTCCTGCTGCTGGGTTGTAGCCCTCCTACGACCCCCTCCATGTCTCCTGGTGTACTGGCCTGTCTCCTGGTACCTATTCCATGTTCTGGACATTGTGCTGAGAGACGCAACAAATCTTCTTGCCACCGCTCGCATTGATGTTCAATCTTGGATTAGCTGCACTACTTGAGCAACTTCAGTGGGCTGTAAAAAACACCTCATGATGCCTCTGTGTGACAGCACTGAGAACATGAAAAAGTGGCTAAAAGTTCAACCAGAAAGGACAAGAACGGAGACATGACCTGTGGTCACCACCTGCAGAATCACTCTTTTATAGGGGTTGTCTTGCTAATTGCCTCTCATTCCACTTGTTGTGTTTCCATTTGCACAGCGGCAGCTGAAACTGACTAACTGGTGACGCTGATTCCACAAAGGTGTGACTGATTTGGAGTTGCATTGTTTTGTTTAGGTGTTCCCTTTATTTTTTTGAGCAGTGTATATACAGTACACATATATATATATATATATATATATATATATAT